CTTGTTAGCTGTTTGTTAGTTGAGTTAATGGCTTGTTAGCTGTTTGTCAGTTGAGCTAATGGCTTGTTAGCTCTTTGTTAGCTCGTTCTCTATTTCTACATTTTTCAACAATCTTTAGCAGATAAATGATTTTAAGATTTCGTCAACCTAACACTCGGCAAAAAGAAAAATATTAATTTAAACTGAACTGGTATCTAAAACACAAAGACATTCTGACCTCATCAAAACCTTAAACATAAAACTAAGTAATTTTATTATTTTTAAGGCTTAACTAAATTCTGTAGCAAATAAATATAATTGATTTAAAATCATATTTAGCAGCAGAAATGGAAGATCATCTCTTTTAAAATCATAAATGTTGTAAACACCTGATCTGAATCTCAAAACTCTGTTTTTACTCGACCTGCAGCTAAAGTTGAGACTTTTCGGCTGTTTGTAACAAAAACGGGGTCAAGATGATGTCACTGAAAAACTGGTTCCTGTAATAAAAACACTCAAATCTTATTTTCATGTTTGATTCAACAGATTATTGTAAAAGTTCAGAATCGTATTTTTGTTGCCGTTTGTAAAATAAATTGAACTTAATTCACTTCAAATAAACATTTTTCCTTCATGTTTGTCTCTGGTGCGTTAAATATTTGAACTGTGTTCATTTCATGTAAAATAATAAAATAAATAATTTTAGTAGTTTTCATCCCCCTGCTCCCTACCCTCACTGCAGAGGTTACAGGTTAGCTTTTGATCGCTCTGATTACAGTCGTGGTAAAAAGAGAAGCAGCTGACGATGATTCAGTTCTTGAGTTTTATGGATCAGGTTCTGAAATGATCCAGACCTCGAGCGAACAAACAACAGATTCCACCGAGTCCTCGTTTAATAAACGAGCTGTAAAACCGCTGCCTCCACAGGAGCATACAGGTGTTAACACAACGCCAAGGTGGAAAGACAACAGCAATGACCTCAGAGAAACAGCAGGTCAAAGGTCACGTCTCAGTCCATCGTTCTACTGAGAGGAAGATTCTTCACGAGAACATTTCAGACAGCTGTTTCAACCTGAAGGTCAGACTGTGCAGTGACTCTACAGGCTTCAATCAAAGGTCAAAGGTCGCCTCTTCTCTCTAAAAACAACATGGCAGCACCACATCTGAAGGAACCACCAGACTTCTGGACCAGACCACAGGACAGATGTTTACCCAGGATGCACTGCAGCAAACAGCTCCTCCAGCTGTCAGCACGGTGGAGGCGGCTGGTGGTTTGGGTTCCTGTCAGTCACTGAGTGGACCAGAACTCCTCTGAAGACCAAAGAGTTCTGGAGTCCAACAGAACCATGGTCCAGAACCCAGCAGCTGATCTACAACAGAACGGGTCAGACAGAACAGAACCAAGGTTCTTCTACGGTCCAGTCTGAGTCCAGAACCAGGAGAGAGAGTGACAGAGGAAACCAGAGTTCTGGACCAGGAACTGGACCCAGTTGTTGATAATAAATTAAACTTTGTGGAATCTTTTTGTGTTTTTGTTCCGAGTTTTTATTGAAACGATTTCAGAACCTGAAGATCCATTTTATATCCTGAAGTTTGGAGTTTTAATTATAATTTATTTATGAATTAGATTTTCTGTGAAATACCTGATCTGAAATCAGCTCCTTTATAAAAATTTAAAAACATGTTTTTTATAAATGACATTTTTCTGGGTCAGATGTTGGTCAGGTGGAGTTTTGTTGGATTTACAAACAGCATGAAGGAACATTTTCAGTCTGGTCCTGTAAAAGGACTCTGTCGGCTCTTTTACCTCCAGGTACGGGATGGGGGTGATGGGGGGCAGAGGGTACTCCTTCAGCAGCCGCTCCTCGTCCAGAAACTTTCCGGCTCGGCCGTTGAACGCCGGCTGGAAGAGACCATAGTTCAAAACATCCGACAGAGACTGAGTCAACGTCACCAGAACCCTCTGCTTACTGGTCCAAACTGGTAACTCTGGGTCCAACCGCAAACACTTCTGAGAGAGCCGGAGCCAGAGAGAAGGCAGGCAGACAGGCGGACAGAGAAAGAGACAGGTGCAGACAGACACGCAGACAGGTTTGTGTCGTGTTGTTGGTTTCATCGCCGTGGTTCTGTTCCCGCTGCCGTTTTGTGAGTGTGTTACCGTCTGCTGCAGGTCCGGGATCCCGATGCGGACCACCACGCTGTTTCCAGGAGGCGAGTCGTCGGCGTCGTCATCCCTGGCGACAGCAGAGCCTGTTGGGTTGCCGTTAGTAACCGCCTGTTGCCGCGGGCGATCATGTTTGGTGTCAGCGGTCGGACTCAGAGGCATGTGGCTGCGAGACGAAGAGAAACCCACAAACATTTCAGTTCAGCACAAAACTCAAAATAAAACTAAACTGAACACAAAGTTTTTTTATTCTAAATTAAGATCAATTCCATATTTAACCCTCGTTTTACGGCCACTTTAGGGCAAAATGTTTTAAAAATAATTACATTTCTGAAAACGTTTGCATCCACATTGCACATGTCTGGTGTCTCTGAGCAGGACACCTTAGCCCCAGTTGCTGCCCACTGCTCCACCTGGTGGTGGATGGGTGAAATGCAGAGAGCCAGTTTCACCATTATACAATGATGACAACACAACACGTCATTATCCTTCAGTTTGGTGTGAGGCAGAGTAATTCCACTAAAATCTACTTGTTTTTATTCTGTAAACAAACGAGCGTTCTGGCAACAAACCAACAGCTTTCAGAGAAAAAGTCTCAAAAATGTCTCGAAACGTTCTCGGTTTCCTCATGTGAACCCCAAAGACTCGTTCTGTTGACGCAGGGAATTATTAACAGAATAATTTCAATAGAAACCTTGTGAGGCTCTCACACCAGAGCCAAAACGTTATGTTTCTTCATCTTCTGTGGTCGGGTCATGGAGGGAAGAGGTCCAGGAGAGAAACCCAGACCTCCCTCTCTCCAGCAACATTTTGCTCGTCCTGGGGGTCCTACGGTGGTAGACCCAAACTGCCATGACTCACTTAGTAAATTGACACGGGTGAAGATCTGGTCCACTGGTCCAGGACCAGGACCAAAGCTCCTCCTGAATTGGAGGTTCCAGTCAGTGGGAGCTTCCTTCAAACAGTCTGGAGTAAACTTTCCTGGGGGGGACGTCTTGTCTAAGAAGTTAAAGATTGAAGACTTTCTACAAATGTTCATCATCCAGCGGTTCATGGGACATTTTTCATAAACAGGTCCAAGATGGCCGCCGTCCCATTAACTTACCAAACCGCTGCTGAGATAGTGAACGAGGTGAGAGGTCTCACTCTGACACTTTTTTAACAAAACACTGATGTCCTGCCAAGAGAGACAAAGACAGGAGATCACACTGCAGCTGCCGGACAGGTAGCTCAGTGGATGTGATGTGCAACCTGTTGTGGGTCCAGGGCCACGGGACTTGGTCTTCTCTCATGGATCTGGAGCTGCAGCACAACTTTCATATTCCTCTGCTTACACTCCTGGAGTTTCAATAATGTCCAAACCTCCTGCAGGGTCAAGGTACATGCCCCCTCGACCGCTCCACCAGTGACAAGCCTCAAATCCCATCGCCCCCACCAGCCAGTTAGTTTTCTCCTGGTTCAAATGATCAGCATCACACTTCCACACGTCTCCCCAACATTGCCTCATCTTTTAGGAACAAATGTTTGATCCTCCTACTGTTGACATCTGCAACATTCAGCCTCATCCAGGTCCTCACCTCTGTCCAGCTGTAACAACATTTCTGCTACTCCAGATGTGCACTCTAACTTTCAACACTTTTTGTAGTAAAGGTAAATGTTTTTACTCAGCTAAACGTACGCAGCCTTGTCCCTAAACTAACCGAGGGGAGTGCACGTTAACACTGCAGACCCTGATATTATGGTCGTCTCTGAAACTTGGCTCACGAAATCCATAACTGAGGTTTTCATCACTGGTTACAACATCTACTGTGCTGCCGTCTTCGTTGTCTCACGCCTTCGACGCTGTCGACCACTCCATCTTGGAAACCTAAGAGACATCTGTCTGTCAGAGAGTTGTGTAGCTGTGTGTTGGTTCAAACGCTACTGTTCTGGGCAAACACAGTCAGTGAGGGCGGAGGGTCACCTGTCTGACCCACTACCCATCAGCAAAGGCGTTCACCAAGGCCCCATACTTGGTCCAACTCTTTTCAGCATATATATCAACAATGTAACAAATTGTGTGAACAACTGTCTTGTTCACACACATCTGTACGCCGACGACACCATTATGTACAGCACCAGTACCTCATTTAACTCTGCCCTCGCCACATTACAGATTAGTTTCAATAACATGGAGCACACTTTTTCTAATCTTCATTTAAACCTGAACACTGAAAACAAAATGCATGATCTTTAACAGAAACCTCCCTCAAACTGTCTGCGCTCAGAACAGACTGGATGTCTCTGAGATCCAGTCTGCCAGCAGCTACAAATACTTTGAGGTTTGACTCGATTCCTCACTCTCATATGAAACTCACAACACTCTGCTCTCTGTCACGATAACACATTTTGCTGGGCGATTCATTGTCTCAGAAATTATTGCGATAAACGATAATATTGTTTAAAATTTGACAATAATTACTAATTATTGTCAAATTTTAAGAAGAAATGTTGGTTGATTTGTTTTGTGTATAGTACCTTTTTTCGACCACCGTATAAGCCTGTTTGAACTGAAGTGATGGAGCGAGCAGCGTCTCTTTAAGAGAAATGAGAGGGAGGCCCCTTGACGTGACATGGGCTGTCTCTCTTCGGTTCTCAAAATAGCCGACACTCGGTGGTTTGAGCTCTTTAGCATTTTTCACACAAAGCTTTTAATAAAAAATCAGTAAACAAGTTCTCAGCTTCTTTTTACAGAGAAAAACAAGTTTACACAAAGGCACGAGTTTCAACCGTGAATTTTGGAGCTTGAACAAGACGGAGGTTTTGTCCCCGAGGTCGGCCTGTTAGCTTAGCTTGTAGCTTAGCTGCTTTTAACGATCCAAAAACACGATTTTGGTTAAAGCATATTTTAAAGAGAAAAGAGAAAGGGAGGGGTCAGTGAAGAGCACCGGAGTTGAGTCTTTTGTCGTCCAGTGTCTTCAGTAGAAAGAGAGAGACACGAAGAAACGATAGTTGATAAATGAAAACGAGGTCGATAATTTTCATTTATCGTGTGATCAATTGATTTATTGTTTATTACGACCGGTTTAGTTCCTCCTCGAAAACAAATCCTCACTGACTCAACCTGCCAAACATCTTCTGGTAAAAAGGATCCTTCCGATGTTCACCTGACGTCCTCTACAGAACTCTCCTCCACAAACTGGACACCGTTGTCCAGTCAGCCCTCACCACTGCACTCTGTATTCCCTGGTGAACTGGTCCTCCACTCCCACAGACAAACAAACTGGTTTCTGCTGGTCTATAAAACCCTGACTGGTAAAACCCCACCCTACCTCCGCTCATTACTCAATATTCGTAGCAACGTTCGTGCCCTCCTCTCCAGCAGCTGCATCATCCTATCAATCCCTGAAACATCTCCTGATGCACAAGAATGTAAATTTAATCCTGATTTGTTTGATTCAGACCTGAAGGGATTAAAGTGTGTCAGGAGTAAAACACGGTTATTAACTGGTGGCCTGATCTGCCCTCCCAGCAGCCACCGACAGTCCCACCTCCACTGCAGCTAATTCTTTTAGTAATTCTGAAAAATAAACGGTTCAATAAATTCTGTCCTGCTCGAAGCTTCAGCTGTGAACAAACGACCTTTAACCTCCAGTTTTATCACAAACGGTTTCAAATGAACTTTAATGTTGACCTTTGGGTCACTCAGGAACAAACTTGTTCCAGTTGTAAATATTTAGTCTTAACTTGACTCAAACTATTTTAAATTCATTTATTTAGTTTCTAACAGTCCCACGTGTTGCAAACAGACGCTGAAGTTCTGACGTTTGTCTCATTTTCATTTGATTCTAAAGATTTGAATAAAATCAGAAACTTTTCTGTTCGTGATTTCTGAATCTTTAATCAAAGATCAATATAGTTTTAAATATTCAGGCTCCCACAGATGGGTCTGGAGGTTCTGGTTTGTGAGCCGACGACCTCCGTGTGCCCTGGATGTGACATCACTTCCTGTTTTTCTCACAGACGAGGGTCGGATTCGTTTCGCGGTAAAACGAGGCTTCAGCTGAAATAAACCGTCAGAAACGTGATTTATGTTCGGACGTTTGATGTTTCAGGGACTTTGTAAAAGTTTTTATCTTTGTTTACTCAGAACTCCTGGACTGGAGGAGGATGAAGATGATTTAACGAAGGTCAACGGGTTTCTGGACCCGGAGGAGTTGTTTGAAGAATCGTTCAAACGTCGTTCAGGAATTTAACAAAGAACTTTTTAAAAACTTTCAGAACGTCCGAAAATAAAAACATAAACAAGTAAAACCAACAAAGGAATAAGACAACCGTCATCCATCCATCCATCCATCTGTCCATCCATCCATTTGTCCATCCATCCATCTGTCTATCCATCCATCTGTCTGTCCATCCATCCATCCATCCATCTGTCCGTCCATCCATCCATCCATCCATCTGTCCATCCATCCATCTGTCCGTCCATCCATCCATCCATCTGTCCGTCCATCCATCCATCTGTCCATCCATCCATCCATCCATCTGTCCGTCCATCCATCCAGCCGTCCATCCATCCATCCATCTGTCCGTCCATCCATCCATCTGTCCATCCATCCATCCGTCTGTCCATCCATCCATCCATCTGTCCGTCCATCCATCCATCTGTCCATCCATCCAGCCGTCCATCCATCCATCTGTCCATCCATCCATCCATCCATCTGTCCATCCATCCAGCCGTCCATCCATCCATCCATCCATCCATCCATCTGTCCATCCATCTTGTTCCTTTGATCCGTGGAGGCAACAGATCCCGACAGGAAACCTCCCTCTCCAGCTCCTCCTGGAGGATCCCAAGGTGTTCCCGGACCTCTCTTCAGGGAGTTCTGGGTCTCATCCGGGGTTTACTCCCAGTACCTGAAAAACCTCCAGAGGGGAGAATCCAAGAGGCATCCTGATCAGGAACCTGAACCACCTCACTCCTGTCGATGAGGAGGAGCAGCTCCACTCGGAGCTCCTCAGTTCTTCTCTGAGGCGCAGCTGACCTGCAGGGGAGGCTCATTTTAGCTGCTTGGATCCAGGATCTGGTCCTGATCCAAACCTTAGTGTCCACAGGTGAAGTTTGGAACGTAGACAGAGCAGTAAATCCAGACCGGAGCAACACTCTCATTACTGCAGCTGAAGATT